TTCATTAATCACCCATGATGGGCCAGGAAATGTGCTTAGAGATCTCCATCACCCTAAGGGAAGTTATTAGCATCCTCATAGTACTCAGGAAGAAAAAGAGGCTCAAAGACAGCAAGGACCTTGGCCAAAGAAGTTACCAACAGACCTAGTAATGCTGAGCTGGGCTCTGAACCCAGACTCATCTGAGATGTTTGTGCTCTTCAACAAGGCAAAGGTAAAGCATGATGGATACTCAGAAAGTGTTCTGCACCTTCCCAATTCTAACCTTCCAAAGCCCCACTAAGAATTATGCCTGATTTAAGGGTTGCCTTGATGTACCCATGTCAACCAGCAGCACTATGGCTTTCATCAACCAGGGGTGGCTCAACCCCACCAAACCTGCGGGTAACCTCCATAGCTGTTCCCAGCAATCCCAGGCAGCCAGACCCACCCTGGTCTTTTTCCCATGGCATAAGGGTCACAGAAGCAGTTGCCTTAATCCACCAAGGGCTATAACAAATAGCGCCAAATGAACATTGAGGTAGGCATTTCCATATAGGAGCCTTCCTGAAGAACACATTCTCAGGAGTGCTATGAGAATTGTTAATTAGAAAAGAGAATGCTAAATTGCCATCCCAAATATCTGCACCACTTTGAATTTTCACTAACAACAAGTGAAAACAAACATTTCCCCACAATGGCTACATAAAGCAAACAAAAAAATACCCACAATGTGTTCCTAAATGAGAAAAAGAGGAAAATGCATATTTTGACCTAAGCTTTGTCTTTTAATAAAGGGTAAACAATAATTACATCATAACAGATATGTGGGGAAAGATGGACAGATAGCAGCACACACTGAATTCTCAGTAGGAGTTATCTCTGAAGGATAAAAAAGGATAAGAAGTTTATAAGACTTCCTATAAGTTTGTAGGCAGAAGAAAAACCTTCAAGTGACTTCCTAGGAAAAAGAGATAGTAATAAATAACTACATGTGAAACCAAAAAACTTTTCCAGATATGAAGAAGATGCAATCCAGTGTTTATATTCTAGCATGGCTTATCGGCAGAAAGCATCCCTTTGTTTTTAAAAAAAAATTTTTTTTTAGATGAAAGTACTGCACAAGATAAGCAGCCTGTTGATCTAGCTTTGCTAGCCACAACCCTTGATTCCAGCCACATCCGGGTCTCTTTTTCCATGTACAGGTCAGTATTGTTACCACACTGTTATTCCACTGAGAAATGAGCACATGCTTACTATTAGCGTGACTATATTTTAAGTCACCCATATTTGTGCTTCCCTTGCTGGGAATTTAGCTCAGTGTTTCTGCCACCTACCTCACAGGCACAAGGTTCTGAGTTCGATCTCCAGTAACAAAAAAAAAAAAAAATGTTCTTCCCTCACATAGCCACTATTAACATTACTGGGTTTATGTCCTTCCTGATTTGGTTCTATGCAAAGGTCCTTATGCAATGCAGAATCCTACACAGTTGCAATGAAATAATATGTGCATCTCATGTCTTGCATTTTCCTGTACAACCTTCCTACTTATCTGATGCAATTTGGCAGGTGCATGTGGGACAGCTGTGGTACTCTTTCACTAAGTAGTGCCATGGTTTCCTGAACCACACTCCTAAAGTCAGCTCTTCAGACTACCACCCTTTTTTTAATTCCACTGTTTTAAATGACTTCATACAGAAAGGTTTCTTTGTAATTAAAAGAGATTCCTAAAAATGGACTCACCAGGTCAAAGGACACAAATGTTTTCACAGTTCCAAATACCCATGACTAAATTATCCTCCAGAAAGTTCCCTCCAGGGGCACAAAAGAAGAGGCAGGGGTTTGCATCACCAACATCTCACCAGCATGGGGTGTTGCTTAACTGAGTGGTGAGAAATGGCATCTTACTTTGATTTCCATTGCTTTGATTACAACTGAGGATTCCCGGGTTTCCCATATGTTTGTTAACAAGCTGCATTTCTTCCTGTGATTTGTTTCATCGTGTTCTATCCACATTTACACAGTGATGAGTTTATCTAGGTTCTTCTAAGCTCTCAGCTTTCTCACACTTCTACTGACTCCTCTAGATCTTGGCCACTATCGTATTGAAGAGCTAATAGAATCTGTAGTCCCTGTTCCATGAAGCAGAAAGCAAAGGTCCAAAGTGAGTAGACTGGCTTTTTTTCAGTGTCAAATAGCATGAACTAGTACAGCTAGGACCAAAACGTGCCTTCAATTACCAGGGGTCCAGGTAATACAGTGCTTAGGGGTGCAGGCAGTGCAGTGAATAGGGGTGCAGGTCTGTAACCTAGCTCCACCCTCTCCAGGGGTAAAATCAGCTATCTCTCCTGGGGCAAGTAACTAGAGACAAATGAGCTAAGGGGTATGGAGCTGGGGGCAGTGCCAGGCTCACTGTAAAAGCACCACAGATCATTCTGGAGCACTTGTTGATTGCCTTGTGGTGGAGCCCCCTGCTGGGCCCTGGGAATAGAGGGATGAGACAGGAGCTCAGTCTGGCAGGGAAAGCAGATACATGGCAGACAGCCAACCATTGTGCAAGGCCCTCACACTGAAAGGGCTCAGCTGAGGACCTTGGTCCCTTTACTGGGGCAGAATCTGCCACTCCATTTCAAATTCATCTTTCTGAAGTTTCACATCTGAGCACAGTCCAGCTCCTCCAACCCAATGTCATCCATAAGGGTCACACACCCAACAGAATGGCTCTCATCAATTTTCCCACATCCCATCCATCAAACCCTCCTTCTCCGACACTCCCCTGGGCAGGCAGAATGGTGACATTTTTGAGCACCTACATCTGTAATTTTCTCTGCCCAGAGGTCCGGCCATCCATCTGCAGGGTCTGATCCCTGTGGCATCTTCAAAGAGCTACACCTCTGGGGTCTCCACACACAGGGGCTGCTGGTGAATGGATGTGTCACAGAAGATGCCCTTGGTATTCTGTCAATCCTGCAATGCAGCTGGCTCTTGGGGAGGCACAAGAGGATTTAGGAGCTGACTGTCAGCACCTCCAAGTACTAGGCCCAAACAGGGTCAGTTATTCTGACTCTGCAAGGCATCAGTGCAGAAATGAGGCCAGCGCCTGGTGACAGGCATGGGCTGGGAATACACAAACCCTGGGTCACAGTGACCTTGGCTGGCTGATGACTCTGGGCAAGCACCACCCTCCCCAGTACCTTATCTCTGAAGCCAGAATGAAAGCAAATCTGGCCCAAAGGCTTATGGTGCCAATTATTGTGACCATATCCACAACTGAGGCCCCAATTCTTCCAACAGCATTCACACTGCTGAATAATAGCAGCGACCAATTACTGAGCACTTTTCATGTATAGGGCAGTATTTTCAACATGGCCCAAGTGTTATCTCAGTAAATTCCTGGCATGACCATATTCAATCATTTAGCCAGCTATTTGCTGAACATTTTTCAAAGTGCTGGAGATACAAGCATGAACAAAACAGATGAACATCCTTGGTCTGGTGAAACTTAAGTGAGCTCAATACATAAAATGTACAATAAGCAATAAAAGTCATCAATGTTGAGAAAAGCATGACAGTAGAGAGGAGGGTTAGGAAGTGTGCAGCTGAGTGTGAATGTTCCAGCAGGTTGGCCAGGGAAGGTCTCACTGGACAGGCAACAAGGACATCTGGATTACTAGTCATACTCACCCTTATCTGTAGGTAGAGGAGACTACACAGCTTGACCCACTATGGCCAATGGGACGCTAGCAGATATGATGCAAAGAAATGCTTAAAACATGGTGGTATAGGGACCATGCCAAAAGAGAGCATCCCTTGGGTTTCTGCTGCTCTTCCAACCCCTACCCAGCCAAGATGCTAGAAGCAGAACCCAATAAGCCAAGTCCGGATGAGGCACCCAGCCAACCTGCAAGGGTGCATGAGACCCTGGATACAGGTGAGACTTTGGGGTTGTTTGTTACACAGCATCACATAGTCACTGGTGACTGACAGACTTTAAGGAAGTGAGAGAAGGAGCTATATGACCAGCTGGGAGTAGGCTTTTCCAAGCAGAGAGGACAGCAAGTTCAGAGATCCATGTTCAGGAGCCATTGTTGCATGCTTGAGTGACAGCAAAAGATCTAGGCAGCAGAGACAGAGAGACCAAGGAAGAGGGTGGCAGAAGGCAAGGTCAAAGAGAGTGAGTGGTTGGATTGATTCTTTACAGGCTGAGTGATCAAATACTTTGTCATTCAAACTAGGGCACAGCTAGCTTTTTGTTGAAATAAAATCTACACATAATAAAATGCATTCTTTTAATATACAGTTTGGAATTTGATGAACTCAGTCATGTAACCAAACTTTATCCAGACATAGAACAGTTCGATCACCCACAGAAATTCCCTCATGGCTTCTGGAAGTGAACCCCCTACCGCTAGCCCTGGAACATACCGACCAGCTCTTTCCTGAGTAGTTTGCCTGTTCCAGTGCCTCTAACGAAAATCATGGAACGTGAGTATGGAGCACCTTTCACTTGGCATATGCTTCTGAGAATGAACCCATGTTATTGTATTATCATTAGATTGTTTCCTTTTTGATGTTGATTCATATTCCATTGCATGGATATACCACATTTGTTATCCATCCTACAGGTAAAAGACACTGGGCTTTTCCAACAGGGAATTGTCATGAAGAAAGCCACTGTCAGCACTCACATAGAGCAAAACAGGATGATTTTTAAGTGCATAATTCTTCCAGGACAAGAAGTATAAGTGGGGACCACTGCATCCAAACCAGGAAGCATGTTCACACAGCTTGGGGGCTTGAGACAGGGACTCCCACTGTTGTTGAGACAGGAAGTTGTGGGAAGACGCTGAGCACAGCTACAGTGTGGCTGGCTGAGAATTTAGCAGGATCACTGTGACTGCCTCAGAACACCAAGCTGCAGAGGCCCTGGGCGGAAGCAAGAAGGTAATCCATCCTCTAAGCCTAATGGCTTCCACAGAGGCTTTGGCAGTGGCCTTCAAGGCTGTGGGCATCGGTGCAGCAGGGGCTGAGGCTGAGGCATGGGAGGGCAAGGAATGGATTACTATAACCAAGTTGGGTCCGCTGGTCAAGGACATGAAGACCAAGTCCTTGGAAGAAATTTATCTCTTCTCTTTACCCATCTAGGAGACAGAGATTATTGACTTTTTCCTAAGCATATCCCTCAAGGATGAAGTTCTGAAGATCACACCGGTACAGAAGCAAACTCGTGCTGGCCAATGGACAAGATTCAAGGCATCTGTCGCCACTGAGGACTACAATGGTCACACTGGTCTGGGTGTAAAGTGTTCCAAGGAAGTAGCCACTGCCATTCACGGTGCCATCATTCTGGCCAAAATCTCCACTGTCCCAATGCAAAGAGGCTACTGTGGGAACAAGATTGGCAAGCCTCACACTGTCCCTTGCAAGGTGACAGGCCACTGTGGCTCTGTGTTGGTGCATCTGATCCCTGGCCCCAGAGGCACTGGCATCATGTCAGCCCCTGTACCCAAGAAGCTGCTGATGATGGCTGGTATTGATGACTGCTACACCTCTGCCAGGAGCTGCACTGCTACTCTGGGCAACTTTGCTAAGGCCACCTTTGATGCCATCTCCAAGACCTACAGCTATCTGACCCTGGACCTCTGGAAGGAGACTGTCTTCACCAAGTCTCCCTACCAGGAATTCATTGACCATCTTGTGAAAACTCACACCAGAGTCTCCGTTCAGAAGACTCATGATCAAAGAGTAGCTACAATGTAAGGGTTTCTACAGAAGAAAAACAAAAATGAATGAAATCTGAAAAAAACAAAATAGAGAACAAATGAGTTCCTGCTAAGGGGGAGCCCTGACAGGACCCCACAGCATGTATATGCCCATCCTGGAAAGGCCCGGCCAAGGGCAATGCCAAGAGCCTGGAAGGAAGGAGCTGGGCCTTCCATGGGGCAGTGCAGGCCAGTTCCTGAGACCAGCAGAGGGGAAGGAGCACGAGGGACAATAGGAGCAATGGCCAACAGTACACAAAGGATGAAGCCAGCAACAAGGACTGCTGATGCTGCTGCCACTCTGCTTCCAGAGGATGACCTTCTGAGGCCAGAGACCACTAGAGGACACAAGAAAAGATGCTGAGGCCATCATCTACCCCCTGGAGCCTGGACGAAGCCCATAGCTTCCTGCTACCTCCAGATCTCCACAGCTGCTGGCTAGATTTGCCGTCTGTCCCCTGAGGAAAGGGCCCAGTCCCAGGGGTAAGAGCCAGTCACAGGAACAGGAGCCCACATGGACAAGCAGTGATACTGGGGCAGGGAATGCCAATTCCTCAGCTGGTTCACCGATAACTTCGTTGGAGGCAGGGACAGGCTCTCATGTCACACCAGTCCCAGCCACAGTGCTTATGTGCTTATAACAATGGGGAAGGGCTCAGAAAACACATGACCTACACCCCAAGGGTAGCAAGGATAAAAGGCAGGGGTATGGGGTACACTGTCCACCTCCCTCTGACCCAGCCATGGCACAGAGGAGACAGAAAATCATTATTCACCACTGCTGGGCCAAGTCCTGCACACAGGGAAATAAATTAGTTACCCAATGACAGTTAGTGCCAAGCACATCCTCATAGCATTTCCACCCAACAGGAGGGAGTCACCACAAATTGTTCTTCTCAAGCCTCAGGATACAGCCGTGCTCTACCTCCTCACAAGCGTGGCTCTGTGGTGTGGCCCTGAAGTCTATTCCAACTATAGAAATGTGAACGCACACGCACACACACACACACACACGCACACACACACACACACACACATGCACACTACAGTATAACAAACAGGTGGGGGTGAGTTCAGCCCATTGCACTTGCCACACCCCACTATCCACCTGCCTTGCTCTTTTCAACTGCACAAAGTTAACAAGAGCAGGTTTAGGGACAAAGAGACCAGGGTTCAAACCCAAACCCAGCAGGCAGAAGGAGCTCGCTCCTTTTGCAAAGCTGCCAGATAGGCTGGCTCAGAGCCCAGGTGCACCTGAGGCCCTTGCCCACTACATTTGCCCTGTGAACTCCCTGGGCTCTGGGGACCAGATCTCAGCAGGTGCAGGGTGCCAGAACTCTCGTGCGAAGGTCGAATATAGCCTGCTGCACCTCTGTCCTCCAACTTGTGGGGGCACAGCTCACTCCCATCTGGGGTTCTTTCTAGGGGTACAGGGTGACCCAGACAGGCAGATGCCTGTGATGCTCAATGCATCCTCAGGCCCAGTGTAGCTGGCAGCAGACGGGCTATGGCCAGAGAACAGCTCCATGCCATGCACCAAAGACAAGCCCACCAGGCTGAGTGCCAAGTACCAATCATGGCCTCTTTGGTGGCCTGGCCATCCCCACACCTCCAGACCCTAATGGTAACAGGGCTCTGACTTTGTCCCTCCTATTTGAATCCCACACCCAAGCAGGTACCACACCCAGGTACAGCAGAATTCACCCTGACATCTCACTCCCACACCCACCTGGGGCCTGAGCCAGTGCTCTGGGCTGGTCCACATGTCCAGCAGCCAGGCAACATATTGGAAGGCAGGTGCCTGGGGCATGAGGTGGAGGACAGGAGGCAAAAGATGCAGCAATCAAGAGCAGGGAAGCAAAAGAGGCCTACAGCAGGTGACAGGGCTGTGACAGGTCCCCAGCCCCCACATGCCTGCACTCACTGCTGAGATTAATGTGCTTGACAAATCAATCCTACCCACTTCTGACTTCATTGCTTATTCACATAATTAGATCCAAGTTGGGCTCTTTTTTTTTTTTTTTTTAAGTAGTGATTTCCAGTTGCTCTGAACATCTGGATTAGGCTCTGGTTGCTTTTCCCCAGTAGCTGAAGGAGCACTTTCAATTTAATGGGCTGTATTTCTCAAAAAAACACTGCCCCAAATACTAAGTGATAGGGTATTGAGGGAACTTTAATATGGCAAGGAGACAATGGGGAGAAAAGGCCACCCCTGATCCAGAGGGCTGTGGTGAGTGCCCTCTGCACAGGTGGGAAAACTGAGACCTGGAGGATGGTAGCATATTCTGCCCAAGGTCATACCAACATGGAATGCAGTCTGGTCTCTGCACCATGCTGTCTCCCAGGAACATGGCCAGTCTGCTCCCCATTTTAGCCTCCTGTGGTTCTCAGGCAGACACAGACTGGAGTCCTAACTTCCCAATGCACAAATCTCAATGGTGCAAAGCAGAGCCCAAGGGGGTAGGGGTCCTTCCTCAGCAGTTTCTGGGCACATGAAGTCTGCACCTCCCACCCAGCAAGCACAAACTAAGCACCTTGGGCATGCCAGGCACCGGAGGGGTGGGGGCAGACATACTTCCTCTCTAGCAAAGATTAGGATCTAGTGAGCGAGACCGATACTAGTCAAATAAGAAGATGGCTAGATCATTGCAGAGTGCAACATTCTCTCAACAAAAAGCTCGGGGTGTCATGCACCTGTCTGTCTAATGAGCCTGAGGACAGCGGGTCACCCAGGGAAGCCTGCCCGGAAGAGCAGTGCTAGGCGAGACGAAGATACGACAAACTTAGGAGATCTGCAGGGGGGACCAGAACAGTGGGGGCTGCTGCAAGGTTAGCAGTCCCTGTGAGAGAAGATTCTGGAAAGGCCAACATCCCTAGCTGCAAAAGAAGGTGACAATTCCCACCACTCACCCAATGTCCGTTTCTCCCCTGACCCTCTGATCTGCTCCAGAAAATTTCCCATCAGTCGAATCCACGGAGGAAAATAAAACACTACACAAGGTTTTCACCAAACATTGTCAGAAAGAATTGACTGAGGAATGGAAGCGGCCACAATGTCCAATAACAGGAAACATTAGGTAGGTTATGAAACATCAATTCTTCATCTCGGAGCAATCATTAAAAATGATCATTACCAAGGCTTTGCAACTACACAGGAAATGTTCATACCAGGATGCTAGGTCAAAAAGGCAGAACACAAAATTACATCTAGATTATAAGTGCTTATGTTCGGAATCAGCGCACATGCAGCCAGGGAAGAATACAGAAAACAAAAGCAAGGCCTGGGTCAGGCACTGAGTCTATAAAATTCTTCCTGGTGCTCATATAATGCTCTTTAAAACAGCAGAGCAGGTGCACTGCACCTGGGCACAAGAGGAGGGAGGCGTGAATTCAAGTTGAAGTTGTTCTTAGGCTGCAGGCTTGGGCCATGCTGTTTATTCTCTAATTCCTGCTCCTTGATGAGAGGGTGAGGGGATTTAGTGAGGTCAGAGGTGTGGCTAGGGAAGCCAGGGAGGGAAAAGGAGGGACCAAATGGTGGCCAGAAGTGGAACAGTTCTGGGGCTGGGCACACTCAAGACAAGGCCACAATTACCTACATCGCAGAATTGAAAAGACTGAACAGGAGGAGACACAAAATGTGTCTGGGTTGTGGGATGATTCAAACAGTACTGGTTATCAACACTGCTGCTTGCTTGGAATGGAGCTTTGTCCACCAAACAGTCCCATCATTTTCCTCTGGGCCTGGAAACTTCCACAAGGGAAGGTGTTCACACATGTGTGCATACCCACATATACACACACAAGTGCGTGCACACACACACACACGTGTGCAGCTGACACTGTGGCACCCCACCCCATCTGGCCAAAAGAGCAGAAGCTCCTTGGACAGGGCCAGGACCAGTCCTTGTCCACCCCTGTGTCAGACTGCCTGCTTTTCTCCTCGGGCTGGGCTCATTTATATTTCGATGTTCGCCTCGCTTCCGGTCTTCATGATCTCCCACTTTCCATGACTCGCCTGTCCTATGCTCACCAGAGAGGTCTCTGAGCACCCCAAGCTCTCAGCAATACATTTTGGAAAAGGTGAATGGTGCTGCCTGTGTCTAGCGGTCCTGGTGTTGATCACTAGGCTTCCCAAATTATTTCAGAATAGGCCCTGCCTCTGTCCTCACTGCACAGGCTGCCCTCCCAGAGGGCCCCTCATCCCCACGCCATCCAACCCCAGCCTCACACCTCCCATGGGAAAGAAAGCAGAGGGACACACCCTTCCCTCACCAGCCCCTGCTTCTCTGTTCTTTTGGACCCTTCTCGGTGCTACCCCTCCCAGTGTGTTCTGTACAGTGTAGACACACATCTTTCATAGCAAGCAATTGCTCCCTGCTGCACCCTCCTTCTAGGAGGCTTTCCCTCCCTGACAATCAAAACAACCATTTCCCTAACTGCAGTGAGGGCCTCTGCCTGGCTTTGTGTCAGGAGTGATGACCAACAGTGGGGGGGGGGGTCCCCCAAGGTGGGAAGCAAATGCCCTCCCTGCCCAGCATGAGTGAAGTGTTCTCAGCAGGGGACTTCGGACCCAGCCCAAGAAGATTCATTAACTGACTCCAGGAGCCTCAATCTCCAGGCCATCAGACAAAGGCCACCCTCAGGGTCACAGTGCCAAGTAGGATGGCTCTCCAGAGAGCCAGGCCAGCTCCTCACACCTCAGCTGCACAGGACAAGCATCAGCACTGCTTCGTGTCCAGATGTCAGGTGGGGATCAGGCCACAGAGAACCTTCAGCCACCAGGTCACCAGGGAGATTTCTACACACATCATTGGCTGGCCTCACTCCCAGGCAACATCATGTTCAGGCCAGGTTGAGCCATCCTGGTTTTCCAGAGCCAGACCTCCACTGGCAGATGGCTGGCATGCACATCCTGCTCCATACCCTGTCCAGCAAATGACACCGCCTCACCAGGCCTCAGTGTCCTCAGCTATAAAAAATGACCCTGAAAAGAACACT